ATCTATCGAATCCCAGCCATTTGATGTTGTTACGTCTAATGTTGTTGAGATTTTCTCCGTTTTTGAGTCAATGTATTTAAGCACTTTACTCGGGGATCGGAGATTAAGTTGTGCGGATAAGGATGCGGTTCACTGAGAAGATTCATATATGTATGTGTACTTGTATATAACCGATTAGAGATTTAGAGAGTCCGTCGATAAATTCGATTCAATATTTTCGTTTATTGAAATAAGTAAATGTTATAAGCAAAACAATAAAAAAGACAAGTGAGGTTCTGATGCCGCGCGAGGCTAGTTCTCACCTTGATTGTATAACTATAACTGTAGCTGTAACTGTAACTAAGTAACTAACTGACTGACTGTCTGAATAATCGACTGACTGACTGGCTGGGTGACTGATAAATTTACCGGAAAAAAGGAAGAGAGAGTTTCTGTCTTTGACAGCTCCTTTTATATTCTGAAAATGAGTGTGGGAGTGTTCTTTCAGAATCAATCGAAATTCTTCAAAATTTGGTAGAACCTATACTCGCGCTTTCCTTGAGATAAGGCAGCAAGGCTCCGCGTAAGCTCTACTCCCCACTCTACAAGTTTATTCTTAATAAGATATAGTTGAGTTTTAACAATTTGTAGTAATAAAAATTCGGTTTTCCTTAATATCCTTTATGCGAGGCGAATTCACTACATTCATATGTTTAAAATTAATTTAACTTTATTAGAAAAAGAAAAAGGGAAAAAAAAGATATTCGTTCTTGTATTCAGGAAGATTTCTATTTTACTGCTAATTACTTAATCGTTAAACGCTAATATAATATACATTATTATTAATGTTAATGTACGCTTTTATATTTATTTTATAGGAGGGCTTCTTTGAGAAAGATCGTGTGATATTCTTAGACATTCTTTAGAATAATCTGTAGATAATTTGTATGACGCATAAAAGTATATAACGTGATCTATCTGTTAGTTGTTTAAATAAAGAAACTAAATATACTCTCTTATAAAAGAGAAAAGGAATTTTCGGTTTCGAAATAAAGATAAAATAGGGAAATATTAACTTAGCGATAAGATAAAAAGTAAAGTATAAATCGTATATCTATGACGAATATCTATAAAGAATAAGAGAATTTTATCGGGATGTAACAATGTATACCTTGTTTCCCTTCCTGTACAGTACTTTCTCCACGAGATACAAGTCCGGATGAATAGCGCGATGCAATTCGTACTCATAGAACGCTCCAGCGACGGATTTTCCGTCGTGAAACTTTATCTAAATTCGGCGTTTTATCCGTACGACGATTTAAATCTGGATTTTGCCAAAACGAGATACGCCATTCTATTTGGATATGTACGCGCGTTTTCGTAGAGCACATTATGGAATCGATTGCTTCGAAACGCTACTCAATGCTCTCATTTATCGAGAAAGGACCTTTTGTGATCATTGATTGCTCGCGACAAAACGAATCCGTCAAGAGTGCCACTGTGGACATACGCATAGAATTTGACTGCAAGGAGAATTTGCCCGCAAATACAAGCCTATTGTCTCATCACACACGATCGTGTAGCTCAGTATAATCCATTGACCAACGTTATGCGCAAAATCACCTAAATGCATCTCTGACACGATATAAAATCTACGATACGTCGCAATCTTCTCGACAACATGCCCATGCCAGTGTTCGTGGATCTGCAACAATTCATCGTTAACAAGAAATTTATCGTGGAGGAAGTGGCGGTGTTGAAACAGAGGACCGTTCTCACGCATTACATTTTTACGAATCCCGTGCCATGGAAATTTTTAACCAGATCCGACAAGTCTTGCGCTTTCTGGTTGATTGCTTATCACCATGGATTGCAATAGGAGGACGGGATGGTCTCGTACAACGAGGCGAAACGCCTAATTACGATGGCTGTATTTGAAGATGATGCTGTCGTGTATGTCAAGGGACGCGAGAAACGAACGTAGAACTTGCTTCTGGACGATGAGTGAGAACGCATATACATCGAGACCTTGGATACAATTTACGAAGACATGGAATCTTTATCTAATCTAGATTAGATGTTGTTAATACTATACAATGCGGACAACATGTTAAGAATTGCGCGTTATAAAATGTATTGAAAATATGTAACTGGTGGTTGCAAAAGAATTTTTAAAATAAAATTACGTTAACGTATTTATTAATGTATTTCTTTTCCCTTCCTTTGTAGTGTATAAACGTTTGTATGAACGTACGTATGTATGAACGTATGTATGAACGTTTGTATAAAATGTATGTATAAATTCGTGACAAAGGAAATACGTAGAAAGACGTGATAAAATGTGTCGCGACATGTTCGAAATTCTTGGAAAGAGGAGAAGGACCTTCCTTCTCTCATCGATTTCAGAAGTATTACCATATATGTCCCAATTTACGGATGCAATCAGTCTTGTGATACCCGCTTGTACGAACGGCTGAAAAAATGTACTTCACTAAAGAGAGCAGTGCATCGTACAATGTAAAGAAAGAATATAACATGTAAGTTTCAACGTTCTATTTCTGTACACAAAAGAAATGTTTTGTGTATAGAGAAACATTATGTATGTACACAGTACGGAGCATCGTGCGGTGCGTTTACTGAGCAGACGTTACGTCTGACGAATACGGGCTACAAATTTTTGGAAATTGGAATCAACGTTGGTCCACCGAGTGGAGGTTGCTCTTGGAAATCATTGCGGACACGAACTATCGCTGTCTCTCGAAACGTGGAAGAGTTTCTACGAGCAGCGAGGAAATATTTACAAGATATTTCGAAACGTATACAAGGATAATTTTATAAGCGTTCGACCGCTAACCGTCAGTGTTTGCTTGCTGAACGATGCTACGCTCGTACGTCTCAATTTTTCATCTATGACCGAAACGACGTTATGTTTGACTTTAACGGATGTATCGATATAACGTTCGAACGATTAGCTCGTCTCGTCGATACGGTAGATACAAGTATATACGCGATTCTCTAACATCGCATCTGAGAACATTATACGTGATAGCGACATTCTTCAATGGACATCATTGATTGGATTCGTCGATTGCGAACTATTAGCTTTAGTTTTTAATAAGTACGAAAACCAGTGTAATAAGATGTGAATAAAAAATTTTTGTTCGCATTGTTACATATATATTTTTTTTTTACTTTTCATTCTTTGTCTCAACGCGCCAGGAAAAACTGTATTGAAAAAACTGTGTCGTAAAAAAAAAAAGAAATTTGTATTCTATTGATTCTACCATCCTTTCTTCATTCATAGCACGTTACACGCTTCCTCGCGCTCTCTATCTTTCTCTAAATGCAAGCCTTTATTACCGATGCATTTTTGAAAAGAGAGCGGCGGGTGACGACAAAAATAAGGACCGGGGTTCTATGTTTACGTAACATCAATAGCGCCGGGACCTTTCTCCCTCCTTCCCCGTGTTACGAGTACCCCCCGCGCCCGCACTCCCTTCTAGCCCCGTGGGTTAGAACCCGTCTTGCTTTACTACTAAAAGTATTTGGGACTGTTGGGTCCGGTCATCTTATGCATTAAGAAATTGATGCAGGATATATGACGGCGTAACTTACATTGGGACGAATCCATGCCACAAGATATATATTCAGAATGGCTAGAGTTTAACAGGCAGCTAGAATTATTAAACAAATTTCATTCGATCGCAAGGTATTGATAGAAGACTACTACGACATCCAAATTCACGGGTTTGCGACGCCAATAATATCGGATATGGTGCATGTCTGTATTCGCTCGTGCGTTAAAAACGGAATCATAATCATGAGATTAGTATGCTCCAAATCACAAGTCGCACCGTTAAAGGTTGTTACAATACCGCGACTTGAATTGTGCGACGCGTTGTTATTAGCACGTCTGTATTGTGAAGCAAGCGATGCACTGCAGATAATGTCAAATAAGATAGTTTTTTGGTCCGATTCAATTATCGTTTTACATTGGTTGAAAACTGCACCTCATCTTCTCAAAACTTACGCGGCCAATCGAATATCGGAAATTCAAGAGCGTATTGGATTGAATGAATGACAGCATATAAGGTCAGAAGATGATCCAGTAGATGCCTTATCAAGGAGCCAACTACCTAAAACTCTTGCACAAAATAGCACATGGTTCACGGGACTATCGTGGTTGAGTATGAACGAAGATGAATGGCCTAACGAGATTATGCGAATGGTCGAGAGTTCTGAACTGAAAGGAAATACGTGCTTAATAGCAACACATAATGATCTTGTGAATGTTCGAAAAATATTCGTCGTATTCTAAATTACTTAGAGTTGTTGCGTACTGTCTTCGTTTTCGACTCAATAATAAGTATAAGGGCCGCTATGCGGAAAGGAAATCAATGAGACTAAAGTACGAATATTAAAGATCATTTAATCCGTACATTTCTCGAGCGAACTTAAGGGATTTAAAAACAAAGGATTAACGGGCAAAGGCAAATTCATGAACTTAAGTCCATTCATAGATGAAAACGGATTAATTCGAGTTGGTGAACGTCTATAAAAATCGAAACGTTTTCTCAAAAACATCCAATCTTGCTTCCGAGTAGATATTATTTGATCAATACGCGAAGCATATGAAAAATATTTCCATGCAGGCGTTTAGACTACGCTTTTTATTCACACGACACAAATTTTGGCTAATTGACGGTCGCAATCAAGTAAGGAGAATTATACGCGCGTGCATACGTTGTTTCTGAACTAATGCCAACATCATTAAATATAAAATGAGAAATCTTCCAGCCGTCCGAGTGCACGTAGCAATACCATTTACGAATACCGAGATCGAGTTCTGTGGTGAATTCCGTTTCACATCAAACAAAGGAAATATCGCAATCGAGCACGAATAAAAGTATACGTGTGCAAATTCGTATGTATGGCCATAAAGGCAGTGCACATCGATTGTTAGCGACTTGACCTCGGAAAGTTTTTTGGCAGTAATGCGGCGCTTCATCGCGAAGCGAGGGATGCCGGAACACGTTTATTCCGACAATGGTACAAATTTCGTGGGGGCTAACAATCAGTTGAAAGAGATATACATATTACTTAATTCCAAAGAGCATAATGCTGTGATGAGCAAATCCGCTAGAGTTGTATCGTGTGGCACTTTATCCCACCAACAGTTCCACATTTTGGTGGACTATGGGAGGCCACAGTAAAACGTTTTAAACATCATTTCAAACACATAATCGGAGATAGCTTATTTACGTTTGAAGAACTGAACATCTTCACAATTGAAGTCGAGGGAATCCTTAATTCGAGACCCATTATCTCCCTATCCTCCGATCCCAATGACATGCTGGTATTGACTCCATCGCATTATTTGATTGGCAAACCATCAACCACCTTGCCGGAGGGCGACTTGTCGTCTGTTCCAGCTAACAGATTGTCTACATGGCAATATTACAAAGGAGCGACAAGACTTCTGGGCATGCTGGAGTCTCGAATACTTAAACGAACTCCAAATGAAAATTAATGGAACAAGGATGGTCCGGAAATCACTGCCGGAAGCATCATTCTAATAAAGGACAAAAATCTGCCCTGTTCACAATGGGTGTTAGGACGAGTCACAAAATTGCATCCAGGCGACGACGGTGTAATACGAGCGGTCACTCTCAAGACGGCCACTAGAAAAGTGAAAAGAGCTTCAAATTGTTTGTGCTTATTACCAGTTGAGCAATAATTTATGTATATCGTAGAAAAGTACTATGCTATTGTAATGCGTTAAACTATATAGTCAAAAGCGTAGCGACAAAAGACTCATTTACAAAGCCAAGCGTATAAATTATAAGATTTAGATCTGCGTATGTTGCTCGGTACCCTCTCAACGGGGGGAGTATGTTGAGTAATACGAAATTATTGCCATGCACGACCATGCGATTCTTCCCGCCAAAGAGGTCGAACACTTCAAAGATTATTTAGAGTCTTAAATAATGGTCATATATCATCGGCTAGCGCGATGGACAAACGTGACACCACGCGACGAAGATTAAGTAGATCGCGGCGTCTGTGATCCTTTATCGCGTTTGTCGCGAGTTGCCGATCCGCCATCGCTTTTGATTGGTCGAAATCCACCAATCGTATTAGGGGTACAAATAAGTTCGTGCGGTTTTGAAAGAGATGGCGTAACTACTGTTTCATTCCACCGTTCCGTATTTCTAAGTATGCGTTGGATAGCTGTCATTAGTAGGTATTAAGTTCAGTATGTGTCATTTCTTCGAATTGTAAACAACAATATTTTTACTTCGTCAAATATGTCGAACTTTGTACCAAATAAAGTGTTTTTGCGGGGAGTTTTACTGCATTACTTCAATATGAAGAAAAGTGCTGCCGAAAGTCATCGTATTTTAGTAGAAGTTTATGGTGACCATGCTCTATCTGAGCGAACGTGTCAGAAGTTTGCACGGTTTAAGAGTGGTGACTTTGACTTGGAAGACCAAGAGCGTGCCGGATGTCCAAGAAAGTTTGAAGACGCAGAATTAGAGGCATTACTCGGTGAAGATCCATGTCAAACGCAAGAAGAGCTTGCATTATCATTGGAAGTGACTCTGATTACATTGTAACCGGTTTTTCACAATAAAGCCCCAAATTTCGAGAAAAAACCGCACGAACTTATTTGTACCCCTAATAGATAAATACGAGGAGGATCATATGAAATTTGGAGAAGTCAGTCTTTCGAGAGAACACGAAGAGGTAGTAACTCTGACAATTGAACACGAGTCCATACGTTTAAGATGCTGAAGTGATTTCCAGTCAGTCCGATCTTAGTGTCCGCAAGTATTATCCTCGTGACTCGGGGTTTTCCCTTAGGCATCGTTGCAAGGTATCATGAACTAGGGCTTTAGCCCCCAGGCGTATGCGCAAAAGTATCCGACTAGGCGACTCAGAGTGACAGCCCTTAGGCGTATTCGAAATAATATTAACAATAACTAAGTGATAAGTAACTGAGAAATTGTAAGATAAACAAAATATTGTACATAGACAATAAACAATTTTTTTTCAAATCGAAACTACAGTGTGATATTAAGGTTATTGCACTGCAAACAAAGAGTTTTAAGTTTTGCTTAAAATAACGTTGGTGCAATCGGATCTTAGTGCATTAATGCAAAAAATATTTTTAATTAAAACCTGTTTTAATAATTAAACAATAATTTCTCTTCATACATTATATAATCAAATGTTGATTAATTAATTCAATATGTAATTTAGTTTATACTGTGTTTAGTTTATGTGTTTAGTTTATTACTTTTATTGTGTTTAGTTTATGTGTTTAGTTTATTACTTTCATTGTAAAATATTAGCTTTTTATCTCGTACACGTGCTTTTATTTATGTGTTGAGATAAAAAGCCATTCTCTTGATACTGAAATTATTTTCACAGACAGAACAAGTTTTAAACAGAAATTGAAATTGACGAATGCGTTCAGGAAGACATTATCGCTATTTCTGTTATTCCATCTTCTGTTTATTAGATGTAAAACAAGAATAACATGCCGGGAAAGAGATAAAATAAAGTAGTTGATTTCATCATCTAACTTCATATAACGTAATTATAAATACTTTAACTCATGATTCCAATTTTTCTCGCTTTTCAACAAAGTATAAGTCCGATATATCTGATTTGAACTTTTTACTACTCACTGATACATAATGAAGATTTAATAAATTAATTTATTTATATTGTGTCCAACTTCTGATATGATTTTAATAATTTTATCTATATTCTTTCTAACGTTTGACTATATTTTGGTTGTTGACTATATTTGATTGATTTAAAACTTTTAAAAGTAAGTACGAATAAATTCAATAATTATATGAAAATATGCTCACCCTAATATGTTTATTAATAACTTTATTTCAGAAAAAATATGTGAAAAAAGAGAAAAAACGTAGGATTAGAACATGGGATCTTCAGCATACTGATCTCGCATCTTACGCACAGAATCACATGAAATTCTCTTCCAGAGTCTGTTTATAAACGCAGTATATAACTCCTATAAAAAATCGTAAATAATTAATATCTCATAAACTATTGCGTTTTGAAATCATTTTTGCTATTATACATTAATGGGAAAAGTATATAATTACTAAAATTTATTAAAACTTATACTCTTTATTTCGAATGCCCTTATACTGATATACACCGAGCGGCCGAGATTGAAAAAATCATTGAAAAAACATTTCAGTCTTCGATCATTTCTACCAAGCATGACAGATCGAAAGAGAGTTTTTTTTTTCAACAGATTGTCTCATGCTGTATAATTCGTTCTCGGCCATTCTCGGCACGCCGATGACGAGAATTGTCAATGTCATCAAGAAAAACAAGGAAACCTATTACCTTTCTTTGTTCAATTCAATGTTCAAGAATTTCCTTATGATTAGCAATCAGCTGTAGTAGAACGTGCAGTTCTAGTGATCTAGATTATACTCATTTTTTTTCTCGAAGAAATAATATTTCCTTATGAAACCTGTTAAAATTTCTTTGTTATATTGCTGGGAAGGCTCGTACAGAGTCAGATTTTGCAAATTGATTCTTGAAAATTTTTATTAATTAGATCATATACATCTCAACTGCACTATAGTACACATCGAGTGAAATATCAGAACAAATTTTTATTTTTCTCTTTATTATTTTTACAAATTTTTATTTTTATTTTTCTCTTTACAAAAAAACAGCTTTGTACGAATCTTCAGGAGCTTTTCTGATTATGAATATCCCAATTAAAACGCGATCCATCCAATATTTTTAACCGTAATTTCGGTATAAAAAAATTCATCTTTGACTAGAAATCTCCACGAGTTTCTCCTGTCGACTCTTAAAAGTTAAAAATTTAGTATTAAAATGTATTAAAAATTTTTTTTTATCTTATAGAAAAATATGTGTATCTGTTAAATAATAATATGAAATTTAATAATAATATGAAATTTATCAATACTAAAATAATAATTTGAATATACACGTACGTAAAATTTCTTTAATTTGCGAAAAATAGTTTATAATTATAATAAAATATTTATTGAATTATTTGCATGAATTGAATTATGAATAAGACAGGCGCATCAAGTATGCTGTTGCTGCTAGAGATCTTGTTCATTTTTTATTTTTATGTCCACAATTTTCTACTTGTTATCGATATAAAAATCCCTTTTCAGTTTCTGCGCCTCTCATAACACTATCTATTGCATTTCATTCTTTGATTTTAATTTGTTGTTATACTTAATATACTTCAAATGTCATTTGTACTTTATATAGTATATTATAATTATGAGAAATTATTCTATACAACATTGCCTTAAAAGATGTTCAAAGGACGTCTACATCATGGATGCCTTCAAGATGCCGCTCGGAGAATTGTGTTCTATGGGACTTTTTAAATAGATATACTTAAAATATTATTTTGATTTCACTTCTTTTTTTATGGCATTAATGTCTTTTTGGTAGATTTCGTATACATGGATATATTATAGATATTCATAGAATGTTCATATATGTCTATTACACGAATATACTTTTGTTCGTTAATGGACATACATATTATATTTTATGTACATCCTGAATCAATAATGGATATTCATTGAATATCTTGTGCTATCTGGGTATATTCAACATGATTTAACAATATTAAGTTAAAATTATCCAATGTATCTTGAGCATATACAGTTTGTTTTTATAATTACAATTCCATAAGTTTATATATGGTTAATACATCTTTATATATGGTTAATACATCTTCAGGGAAAAAAAACAGCCGTTTTAATCAGCCAGCTACTGTCAATGAGTTGCGACAAAGAAAGCAGGAAACAATTAGAGATATTTTCACTTCAGCTCCTACACCGTCCGTTAGAATTCTCAGCGTGTGGACTTTTCACTCTGGATCGAACTCTTATAACATCAGTAAGAAATAATATATCATTCTTCTGCATATTCCCGGGTGGAAATGTGTTTGGACGATTTGTATATTAGATTCCGTAAGGAATATTGTAGCATGCAATATCAGAAATCTAGCCGGGCACTATCTAGTATTTAGGCACTAGATAGAATTGTGCCAAGATGAAAATTACCTATCTATCGCTAGCCAGGATAATAATAGTAATATTTTAATGTAACTATTAGGTGGTTAATTTAATTCCTGTCGTTCCTTCTCCAAAATTGATTTGTTTTGGAGGGAAGATAAATAAATATCTTAATCAAAGTAATTTCCTTTAAAATTATATTATATAATAAGAACGAAAAAGGCTAGGAGCCTAACGAATATTTTAAAATTTTAAAATTTTAATGACATGTAATAATAGTACATACAAAAACAAAAACAAAAAGATATATGTTTTGGTTCCGATCGGGTCATTATCAACATTAATTGAAACTTTATAATTTAATGCAATAATAGTCAGTTATTTAAAAATAGGCATTAGTTATAAATTTTAACAAAATTGCAGATGTTAAATGTCCTTCGTAGATTCAGAAAGGCACAGTAAG